GTATAGAGGGGTATTACAAGAGGTACGGGGTGTAATACATGAGGTACGGGGTGTAATACATGAGGTATAGAGGGGTATTACATGAGGTACAGGGTGTAATACATGAGGTACAAAGGGGTATTACATGAGGTACGGGGTGTAATACATGAGGTACAAAGGGGTATTACATGAGGTACGGGGTGTAATACATGAGGTATAGAGGGGTATTACATGAGGTACAGGGTGTAATACATGAAGTACAAAGGGGTATTACATGAGGTACAGGGTGTAATACATGAGGTATAGAGGGGTATTACATGAGGTACAGGGTGTAATACATGAAGTACAAAGGGGTATTACATGAGGTACAGGGTGTAATACATGAGGTACAAAGGGGTATTACAAGAGGTACGGGGTGTAATACATGAGGTACAAGGGGTATTACATGAGGTACAGGGTGTAATACATGAGGTATAGAGGGGTATTACATGAGGTACAGGGTGTAATACATGAGGTACAAAGGGGTATTACATGAGGTACAGGGTGTAATACATGAAGTACAAAGGGGTATTACATGAGGTACAGGGTGTAATACATGAGGTACAAAGGGGTATTACATGAGGTACGGGGTGTAATACATGAGGTACAAGGGGTATTACATGAGGTACAAGGGGTATTACATGAGGTACAGGGTGTAATACATGAGGTATAGAGGGGTAATACATGAGGTACGGGGTGTAATACATGAGGTACAAAGGGGTATTACATGAGGTACGGGGTGTAATACATGAGGTACAAAGGGGTATTACATGAGGTACAGAGTGTAATACATGAGGTACAAAGGGGTATTACATGAGGTACAGGGTGTAATACATGAGGTACAAAGGGGTATTACATGAGGTACGGGGTGTAATACATGAGGTACAAGGGGTATTACATGAGGTACAAGGTATAATACAGGAGGTACAGGGTGAAATACATGAGGTTCAAGGTGTAATACATGAGGTGGAAGTTATAATACAGGAGGTACAGGGTGTAATACATGAGGTACAAGGTATAATACAGGAGGTACAGGGTGTAATACATGAGGTACAAGGTATAATACAGGAGGTACAGGGTGTAATACATGAGGTACAAGGTATAATACAGGAGGTACAGGGTGTAATACATGAGGTGCAAGGTGTTTGACAGGTGATGCTCCGAAAATAAAAGACCTATTAGAGATAGTGTGATAAGGAAATTATTTAATTGACGCAAAGAAATAGACAAGCAAATAGTCTCTCAGATAAAATGATTCATGGACTGTGAGACTGATAGACTTACAGAGTCTGATAGATCCACAGACTAATATACTCACAGATAAAAAGACACAGACTAATAGACTCATAGACAGATAAACATTATGATAAATAAATTCACAGACTACCAGACTCACATAATAATTGACTCACAAACTAATAGACTTAGACTAATATCAGAAAGACTAATTGATTTTCATACTAATAGAATAATAGATTCAAAGATTAATGGAACTACAGATTAATAGACTCACAGAGTAATAGACACAGAGGTAGTATCCCCAATGCACTAGATTCTATTTCCACAACGCTCAACTTTGGCTTGTAATTTCGTCTTGATAACAATTCTTTTCCATCTAGCAGAAAGTTGTGTGGAAAAATTTGTCATTAAACTCCCTATGCCAAGCCAAATATACATAAGTAGGTGGGTACCCGGCGGTGCCCGGGGTAGTCTCTCTCTTCCCCGACCTCCCATTCCACCCCTGTTTTTTCCCTGTCTCCCCCCACGAAACCCATCTTCTCTTGACGCCCCCCCCCCCCCGCATTCTGGTCCCCATCCTCTTGGTCATCCCCTATGTCAATCCCTTCGTTCTCCCCCCCCCTTTTCTTGGTCTCTCCCAACCTCTATCCCCGCCCCTTCTATCCCCTACTTACACCCTCAAGAAGCCTTCAAAAACTTTACATGTCTCAGATCACTGTTCAATTCTCTGGAGAGAACGGACTGTAATTGTTAAACTCCACGTTAACCACACGCCATATTTCACAACTGACTCCAAGAAAATTGCCTGGAGGTGTTTATAAATGCTAATATTTCTTAAAGCAATTAACTTTTGGCCTACCCCGACCTGCCTACGTCCGTCCCGTAACTTGGGTGTGACTAGCCCCTAGTATAAACAGACATTCTTTATTATAGATATCAATTAGTAAGAGAGATTCAAACTAGCCCAATCCTATCGCAAGATAGAAACCAGAGGACGTTCACCCTGGTACTGTCCTATCACCCTGGTACTATACTATCACCCTGGTACCATCCTATCACAACTGGTACCATCCTATCACCCCTGGTACCATCCTATCACCACTGGTACCATCCTATCACTACTGGTACCATCCTATCACCACTGGTACCACCCTATCATCACTGGTACCATCCTATCACCACTGGTACCATCCTATCACTACTGGTACCATCCTATCACCACTGGTACCATCCTATCACCACTGGTACCATCCTATCACCCCTGGTACCATCCTATCACCCCTGGTACCATCCTATCACCCCTGGTACCATCCTATCACCACTGGTACCATCCTATCACCACTGGTACCATCCTATCACCACTAGTACCATCCAATCACCCCTGGAACCATCCTATCACCACTGGTACCATCCAATCACCACTGGTACCATCCTATCACCCCTGGTACCATCCTATCACCCCTGGTACCATCCTATCACCACTGGTACCATCACATCTACAACCTTCTCCACCTCCCCTACCACACGTCTCCCCTAGCAATTCCTCCTGTTAACGGAGATGCTTACGAACCCAAGTACCAGGGATGGGGTCGAGCCTGGGCGTGTGAGGTCGGGGGTGCTTCCGGTGGGGTCACGTTGAGGCTCCCCCACCACACTCTACCCCAACATGTCACTGGTTTGAGATGTTTCACGTAAACAGTGAGATGCAGATGAAGGTGGTTATCGTGCATGTTTTTTGTTTGTGGAGTAATTGAGGTGGTTAGATGTGAACTTGTGATGTTTGAAGTGTAGGTAGTGTGTATACTGTTTGTGTTTACTGTTTGTGCCTGTAGAAATAGTAAATAAAGGGGTTGGATTAGACTCTATTAGCTCTTGTTGGGGTCCAAGAGCTAATAGCTAATAGCTAAAGAGCTAATGTACTGACTCCCAGCAAAGTTTTCTTCATTATACCTACTATATATATTTCTCTCTAACGATCACACACACACACACACACACACACACACACACACACACACACACACACACACACACACACACACACACACACACACGCACACGCACACACACAGGAAGCAGCCCATAACAGCTGTCTAACTCCCAAGTACCTATTTACTGCTAGGTAACAGGGCCATCAGGATGAAAGAAACTCTGCCCATTTGTTTTCCAGCATCGTCTGGGATCGAATCCGGGCCCTAGGATTACGAGCCCCAAGCGCTGTCCACTCAGCCACAGGCCCCCCTAGGCCACACAGACTTACTTGCCACACAGACTTACTTACAGACTTACTTACAGACTTACTAGGTGTACTTACCTAGTTGTGCTTGCGGGGGATGAGCTCTGGCTCTTTGGTCTCGCCTCTCAATTGTCAATCAACTGGTGTACAGATTCCTGAGCCTACTGGACTCTATCATATCTACATTTGAAACTGTGTATGGTGTCAGCCTCCACCACATCACTGCCTAATGCATTCCATCCGTTACCTACTCTAACACTGAAAAAGTTCTTTCTAGCGTCTCTGTGGCTCATTTGGGTACTCAGTTTCCACCTGTGTCCCCTTGTTCGCGTCCCACCCGTGTTAAACAGTTTATCTTTATCTACCCTGTCAATTCCTCTGGGAAATTTGTAGGTAGTGATCATGTCTCCCCTTATGTGTGATCATGTATGATCACACATGATCACATAAGTCTCCCCTTAGTGATCATGGGTGTGTGTGTTTGCTAACCATGGCAACTTTCATACATACAGTTAATTATTCCATAATATGGTTAAGAGTTTCGCTCCCAGTGTCATCCACTAAAACTTCCCTAAGCCTTCTGTGTGGGATGTGTCTCAGAGGCTTTGCTAAATTCAAGACGAGTTTGTATCTACATAAGAACACAGGAGTAAGCGCCCTTACAGGATGCTTTATAGGGTCATAAGAGACAGCTCTTATTTACAACCACTCAAACACATTCATGTCATTAATTGCTATTATTATATGTATGTCTGACCTGCGCTTGAAACAACAACGTGATCCCACGTCTGTTATGTCTACGAGACTAGATAGAGAGTGAGAACATACGTGAGAATAAGCATGAATTGAGGACATTGTTACGGAGGAGATAAACAGAGAGAGAGAGAAAGAGAGAGAGAGAGAGAGAGAGAGAGAGAGAGAGAGAGAGAGAGAGAGAGAGAGAGAGAGAGAGAGAGAGAGAGAGAGAGAGAGAGAGAGAGAGAGAGAATTTCACAATACCTCTGGGTATCTCACGCTACATGTAACCTAGTAAGATTCCTCCACAAAGATCTGTGAACCTTTTCAGTCTCAAAACTATTTGAAAAAAAGTTCGAGGGTAAATATTGGTCTCGAACATCCTCACCGGCTTCCTCTCAAGAAACAGGGCAGTTTCAACCACATCCGGCGAGGAGAAAGGGTGAGATTTCGGATTAATATAATAGGATTCCTCGTTCTTGTTGTCAACAGGAGACAAGAACTCTCTTTATCTTTAGTTTCCTGTAGTAAAAAAAAAATTTCTTTTACCAAATACAAACGTTTACTTTTGTTTTAATAGTTAATTTATCTATTAGAAACCTTTACAGCATATTACAAAAAAATTGGATATCATTTAATGTATATACAAATCCCTATAAATATATATATTTCTGTATTAACTCGTATAGTGTTTTATTGAAATGTTTTTCCTTATATATTTTATATTTCGTATTTTTATGACTGAGGTTACAATACAAAGAATACAAAAATACTTTTAAAGTTTCTTTATTTAAATAAAATATAAATAAATTATAATTTCTTACAAAAATAGCTTGGATACAAAAGTAGTTGACTAGTGAGGTAACTAGTATACACGTAAAATATGAAGCACTTATATATAGAGACATATGAGATGTCTGTACAGTATTAAGTGCTATGCATAATACTTATATAAAGGACTTATATAAGTATAGTATCATACTCTCTGACTAGAGTGGTGGCCGAGGCCACGGTACTTGATACGACAAGAAACGACATAACACTTACAATTAGAAGCTTGCAAAAAAAAGGCAACTTAAGTTAAGACTTACAGCTGATAGTGCAAGCAAGAAAGACTATACATTAATACATGTACATTGTGCATATACATATTATTAGACAATACATGTTGCAAGACACACACACACATCAGTAAAGGTACAGACTTTGACTAGAACGTCACTACATAACACGTCTAACTCTGTTTCAGACGTGCCGTAGGAGATCTTTGGAACATTGGACTAGTTAACCACCTGATAAAGTAACATTTAATTGGCGGCTAAAATGATTATTTTTTTTATTTTTTTTTATTAGAAATGTTATGTTTTTGTGAGATCTTTGGTGAGAAGCTGTTACGATCTCTGCAGGACTACTACCTTAAACAAAGCTACTGACCTACTGTATTTTAGTAAAGATTTTATCTTCAACATTTGATGCTGCAAAATACAATACGGGTGATCTTTGGTATACAATCTTTTGCTATTCAATTAAATCTTTGGTGCATTGCTGTAAAGGTCAGGTGTTTTAAACACTACAACTATAGAGAGCTTTGGTGCTAATACTGTGCAAGAACTGGTGAATCTGGCAGTATGAACCAGACTTCAAAATCTCTATAAAAAAAAAATGCAATAATTATGAGAATACATCTAGGGAGACATTGAGCATTATTCTACGAAGCGTTTTCTTGAGCTTACTACTAATGAGGTCTTAATTTAAATCCTGGGGGGGAACAATAGGTATATAGAGGTACTGTGTGAATCAAAGTCTTTGGTGATCATAGATCATGAGGTCTTGTGGGCAATACTGAGAAATATATGGATCAATTTGATCGAGACAGGTACATATAGGCTTCAAATGTGAGCTTTTAAATATCTAAGGGATGAATATAAGTGGAGATCATTAGTGAAACAACTTAAACTCTAGAGACTAGATAGTGAAGCTTAACTAGATCGTACTAGCGCACTTAACTTTGGTTGACAAGGTTGGGGTAGAGAGGCTTTGGTTGCTAGCTTCTGCCAACTGAAACATTAAACACTACATCTTTGGTTGAGCTCGTCAGGGGAGAGAGAGATCGAGGAAAGCTGGAAGCTAACTGCAACAGTGAAGTGAAACACTGCTAAAACAAGGACCTACTTTAAGCACAACTTACTCTACATATTAGAAACAGTTAAATTACATGTTAATACTGGCTGAAGAGACAAAAAATACAATTAAATTACCGCTTAATATTAGGTGAAAAAGAGCAACAATTACACTAAACCTGAAATAATACTGGCTGAAGGGACAAACAATTACACTAAACCTGATACAATACTGAAACATTAAACGTAAATGAGCAAAAACACAAAGTAATAAGCGAGGCAAAGTAATGGAGTATTACAATCCCTGATAATATTGGCTGGTTGGTTGAAATGAGGTTAGTAAAAATATTATACAACTGAGAGATAATACTGTTGACTTTCACACTGATGCAGGATCTTTGAAGGGGCAAGATCTTTGGAGGGGCAAGATCTTTGGAGGGCAAGATCTTTGGAGGGCAAGATCTTTGGAGGGCAAGATCTTTGGAGGGCAAGATCTTTGGAGGGGCAAGATCTTTGGAGGGGCAATATCTTTGGAAAGATGACTTGAAGTCGGAGGGAAAACTCGTCCTCGTAATTCTAGAATGGCAGACTAGAGGTTTGCTGGCTGACTCCTGGTTGAGCTGATGACTCGACATTCAGGAGATCACTTAATATCTAAAAGCGACTATTGGTGACTGATGCAGCATCTCCCCCTCCCCCTCCCCACATCCCCTCCCACTGTGACTAGTGCTGTGGAGGGGGTGTGGTGAAGTGGGGTGGGAGAACAGGTAACTGGTAGACAGGTAACGGTGACTGGGTCGAGGATGGGAGTACTGGGAGACACACTTGGGTACTGGTGGTGGCATACTCATTCTCAATTCCCGTGTGCTCACACTGCAAGTCCCGAGGGGTTGGTGGGGGCCCGGTGGGGCTGACTAGACGATTGGAAGCTGCTCCTGCGAGGGCTGTGGGCTGATGGGCTGGAGGGGTCCCTAAAAAGCCCAGAAAGGCAGACTAGAATGTCGTTAGCTGAGCCGGAGGACTCAGTGACTAGGGCGGCCGGCATCTGATGTGACGTCACTGACTGCGGTGGAGAGCGGGCGGTGACGTCAGCTGACTAGGGGTGTGGTGGGGGGTGGGTCGGTCTGGCTCGGGACCCCGGAAGGTCTGTAAGACAAAGGAGGATGCATAAGTTCACCGAAGACTAGGGATCGCGAAGTATGCCACTATTGCGTCATTGGAGCACTGAATTAATAAATCACTGTCACTGAAGTTGATGTACTTACCGAGCTTACGACGGACGTGAAGGGTGGTGGCCATGAGGGGGCTCCTCTGCTGCAGAGAACACTCCTCGTTACTAGCTGAGGCTGTAGTGATTTCGTCGTCCTCTGTGGTGCCTTATATACCCGAACGCTGGCAGGTGCACCCTCCACGCGTGGCATGGACCAATCGTAGCGCTGTAAACAACCTGCCACGCGCCGCTCCAGCCAATCCGAGCGCAGCAGAAGGACAGACGCTCCGGTCGGGCCAATGAACGGAGAGAGAGAAGGTTGAATGAACCAATGGGGGAGTACAGCGGACGCAGGTGGCCGGCATGTGGCGGCACGCGTCAGGTGACCCACCGACCAGCCTGCTAGTACCAGGTGGCCACCCACCATTATCACACGCCAACCTCGCTACACCGAACATACACCCGACAAATACACCTTCCCGACACCCCGAACTCCCCCGTCGCTGCCAAGGTACACCCAGAGGAAAGGATAACACTCAGCACCATTGTCATTCGCGACACTCAGATCCCAGGATTCGTGTTGGAGAGCGAGGGTTGTGGTGGCCAGGAGCTCGTGGTAGGGCGCGTGCGGGTGTGGGGCACAGCTGGCAGACATCTGTAGGACTCTCTCCACCCTCTGGGCGATTATCCCCGAGGCGGGGGCGCATCCTCCCTACAGCGAGGGTAAGCATCGGTTCCGGATACAATAAGTCCTTTGGGGGAACAGCCTCACTAACCTCTGGCGATCTCTTGCTTGGTCATTGTGGCTCGGGTCCCTGGCGCCACACACACACACACACACACACCTGCCGCCGCGGCCACACCTGCCGCTACCAGCCTACACACAGCCACCAGCTGCCGCTACCAAACGTATCCACACCTGCCTCCACTATCACCAGTCTCGTCCACACCTGCCTCCACAACCACCAGTCTCCACACTTGCCTCTACCACCATACACTCTCAACACCTGCCTCCTCCACCACCACCACCACTCTCAACACCTGCCTCCAACACCACCACTCTCCACACCTGCCTCCTTCACCACTACCACTCTTCACACCTGCTTCCACCACCACCAATCTCCACAACTGCCTAAACCATCACTAATCTCCACACCTAACACCACCACCACAACTCTCCACACCTGCTTCCACCACCATCACCACCAGTCTCCACACCTACCTCCACTCTTCCCTCACCACCACCACCACCACAACACCTTCCACTACACTCCTGCTATACAACCCAACATCAGCAATGATCACAACACTCAAAAAAGTAACCAATTAATAACCCAAAATCAATAGAAATAAAATACTACAATAAATGGAAATTGAAGCTCTAATGTAATCATCTAAATATTGTTCATGTGAAACTTCCCTTAGAGCACTTTCGCTCATTGTAGAATAAACGTTATTATATGTTAACTCTACTTAAGATGATTAAGTTATACCCAACAACTAAGAGTCTGTGTTAGGAAGAACAAACGAGAAAGAAAGCTAAAATCAAGGGGTATACACACCGAGAAGTACACACCTGGTACACAGAGAAGTGTACCTCGTACACTTCTGGTACCTGTACCTGGTACAGAGAAGTGTACCACGGTTCTCGGTGAGTGTATATACTGACGTTTTCTTTAACCTTGGACTATGCTCTAGTCAAAACAGTACTTGCTAGTGGGTCAGTTGTATTATCCCTCCAGAGGTTGGTATTGGCCTTAATAACCCTTAAGAGATTGTTATTGGCCTTAATAACTCTTCAGAGGTTGGTAACCCATAAAAACAATCTAGAGGCTAGATTACCTTACCTATAGGCCTTAATAACCCCTCCAGAGGTTGAAAGGCCTTTATGCCCTCCAGAGGTTTATGGACTTTAATAACCTTCCAGAGATTGATAGGCCTTAATGACTCCTCTGAGGTTGATAGGACTTAAAGTGGAGAATTGAGATTGCAAATGAATCAAGAAGTTAAAGGTAATGTAAATATGGTTAAAAAATATATAAATTCCAAATATAACTGGAAACAATGGATTATTGATCATATTTTAAGATACAGGTAAACTCTGATAAAGAAATAGGGGGTTACGTAGGCGTTTAATAGGTTGCTAGTTGTTGTCATTGAAGAAATACTCATATGGATGCGTCAATCACAGGTGGGGACAATTACTGGCTTGGTTTAACAAATACTGGACTTGGTTTTATATATATTGGATGGATTGGACAAATACCAGGTGTAGTTGGACACATACTGAATGGATTGGACCATGGGGCTGGACGTGATTGGTGTAATTAGACAACAAAATCGGTGTAGTTAGGTATAACAAAAGCTATCTAGAATAGGTTTGTTGACAAAGCCGAATCAAACTCTTCTTTTGTGCCCTAGGGCAAAAGAGCTAAATTTTGGGCCATCCCCTCTGGTCAGTGGGTCTGCTCAAAGGCTAAACACATACATGTAGACAGCTCATACCATAATAATATGTAATGATTAATTATCCATGTTACATTATACATATTTTTGCAAAGGACTACAATGCCCCTTGGTGCACCCTGATGCTGGTGGGCCCTTGGTGATAGTGGGCCCCTTGTGTACTGGTGGGCCCACACTGGTGATAGTGGGTTTCCTGGTGCTGATGGGCCCCCTGGTGTTGATGGGCCCCCTGGTGTTGATGGGCCCCCCTGGTGCTGATGGGACCCCTGGTGTTGATGGGCCCTAACCATGGTTTATTGGGTAATCCAACCCTGCTTGTAGGTCTTCTGAAATTTTCTTTAACAAGCTCTTAGGTTCTTGATAGTTTCAAAAAGCAGTCGTGGTACATTGTTTAAAACATTATTATTATTATTATTATTATTATTATTATTATTATTATTATTAGTAGTAGTAGTAGTAGTAGTAGTAGTAGTAGTAGTATTAACTCAACTTGTAATCCAAAATATCACATTAACTGCTCGAGGAACGTACAAAAACTGGACTGTTGCATATTAAAAATACGTTTTTTAATATTTAATTTTATAGTGGCAGGTGATGAAGAAGGCAACAACTATGCCTGAACTTTCCCAGATACAGTATACCCTGTACAAAGACAGTGCTTTAGCTAACATATGTTAGGCCTATGATTCTTTATTTAGGCCTAGAAAAGGCTTTGCAAGGCGAGACACAGAGGGCTTATTGCCTATTTTTTTTTTTGTATCCTGTACTGCATAACATTACTTTGCATCATATGCCACTACACTTTATTTCTATACAATGCATCGTATATTAATACAGTTTAATTTTAATTTTCTTCCTTACTGTTAATTACTCTTGCTTATTGAGTCAGAGTGACATGAACTTCTTGCTTGAGTCCTGTTGACCCCCGGAAGACCCTTAAGGTCAGCCGAGGTCAGACACAAACACCAGAACTGGTAAGGGAAACTATTCCTGTCGTGACCTCACCGACAGATGTATCATGGGTCAGCTTGGGAAGCTATTTAAAGTCATGGAGGGGTCACGAAGACAATAGAATAGGATGGATGTGGAAGGGAGGGCACGTGCCTCGCTTGAGGTCAAGTGGGGAGAGAGAGAGAGAGAGAGAGAGAGAGAGAGAGAGAGAGAGAGAGAGAGAGAGAGAGAGAGAGAGAGAGAGAGAGAGAGAGAGAGAGAGAGAGAGAGAGAAGAGAAAAAGATAAACAAATATATTAGATTTTATTAATGTTATGCATATTTTACCATGGTCTGAACACTTTTCCTTAGCTATTGGTAGAAGAAATAGATGAGTATTTGACATTATTATTACTCATAGTTAGATAAGTGTTTTAGCATTTTTTTAAGTTGAATTAGACAGTTGTTAGATAGTTTTTAAGTAGATTTAGACAGGTGTTAGGCAATTTTTTAAAGCGGAACCAGACAAGTGCTACACCACATTAGTATTCAGTGTAAACATTATTTGTCAGAGAACGACAGGTCATGGAAGAACCTTCGTGACTCTCCATGTCAGCATCATTATTATTATTGACAGGTAGACAGATTTCAGCCATCTCCAACATCGACAGTGTGTTAACTGGCATTAAAGAAATGTCACAAGCAATTCACAACATCACAGATGATAGTTTGCAACAAGACATTAGTTGACAGTTCACAAGATGACATGAGACGGTTTACATGATGATAAGGAGGAAGACTAAACTCCTACAGGTAAATTAACTCACTAGTAAACAGTAAGAAAACTCCATAATACAGGAGCATTGGCGAACAGTCTACTGCTGTCAATATCAGGTGATAACTTGCGGTTACCTTGCAATGATTTCGGGGCTCATAGTCCTAAACGACCCGGTCCTCGACCAGGCCTCCTGGTCGAGGAGGCCACAGATGACGTGTTTCATATACCTTTTTATCTCTAGTATTCAGTATGATTATTAAACACAACATTTAAGGCGAGAGATTTTTTTTAACTTTTGAAAACAAAATTAACCTCAGTTTGTAGACTAAATTTTGCACTGAAAAAAATATTGGTAGAAAGATGTCTTTGAAATTCTTTCTTTACCATGTCTGTCTGTCTGTCTGTCTGTCTGTCTGTCTGTCTGTCTGTCTGTCTGTCTGTCTGTCTGTCTCTCTCTCTCTCTCTCTCTCTCTCTCTCTCTCTCTCTCTCTCTCTCTCTCTCTCTCTTTCCATATTTCCCATTCCTGTCACTTCCAACACCAACATCTTTCTCTTCTTCTCTCCATCTCTTTAAATACCTGTTCACTTCCTTCCTGGCTTTAACTCTGACGTGGACATCCTTTGGTCTGCGGGTTATTTAAAAGTACCTTCGCCGCTCTAGAGTATTGTGTCACCTCTTGGGCAGGGAGGGAGTGAGGGAGGGTTTGGGAAGGAGGGAGAAAGGAAGAAAGGAAGAAAGGGAAGGAAGGAAGGAGGGAGGGAGGGAGGGAGGAAGTCAGGGAAGGATGGAGAGAGGGTGGGTGGGAGAGAAGTAAGCAGGAAGGTAATAGAGGAGAGATAGATATATATAGGGATGAAGGGAGCGAGAGAGATAGATAGGAATGGAGGGAGGGTGGAAAGGAGCGTTAGATAAAGAGGGAAGAGAGAGAGAGAAGGGATGATAATCAGGAGAG